TTTACTTTTGGAATCATTGTGGGGCATTTTAATGCTCACCTAAATGCAGCTGTAGAGCTAAGAAAATACTAAACTCCTTCCAATATTTACAGTAATATAAAATATAATAAATTTGTTTGCAACTGCCACCTAACGAAGCGGGGTTAAATTTAATATAAGCGGCGTAAGTCGTTTCGATCAGCTGTTCAGGCTAAGCCCAACACGTTGAGTTCAGGTAGCGTAAACATTTTCCGCTGGAAAAAATGGCGGAAAGGTGCCAACTGTTGAGCTGAGCGGAACTACTCAACTGTGCGTTTCTAAGACAAATAGCCAACGGTTGGACAACAGCTACGTCTTATAAACGCGCCCATTGTCACATGGTAAACAAACATGGTGGGTATTACCATGTTTACCAAAAAGAAAAAAAGTGGGTACATTTATCTATTGAAATTGGTTGAAACAAACCTTTCAATCTTTATAAAAAGTGGTTCGGTTTTCTGTTTGGATCAAACATTTGTGGAAAATTTCGGTTCGGTTCAAAACCGGTTCACGTCCCTGATAAAAACTAAGCAATTGCTTTTTCTTAAAATGGCATACCTTTTACTTCAATTTTGTTTGAACAAATTAAGTAAAAGGTCTGAAATTTCAAGAAAAAGCAATTGCTTATTTTTATTAATGCGGCCCATTAATGAGAAGCAGTGATCGGACTTAAAAATCATTCTGTGTAGTAGAATGTGGAAAAAGCTGTGGTCGATTTAATAAAAATGTTGTACATCTCAAGTTTTGGATCAAACTTAGTACAAATATTAAAAAAATACTGCACGGTTTCACCTAAATTGCAAACTTTTTAATTATAAACTCCAAAAATACTTTTAAATTTTATCATAATAAAGTGCATATTTGAAGTTGCTAAAAATTGCGTTGTTTTGGCAATTTTTTCCTTCCATATCAAAATATTTTTCGAGTATTTTTTGAAAGCGTTCTGCAACCTTGCGGAATGCTGCCAGCTTTGTTTTTATCACATCACGATGTAGCAAACAAAAATGGTGCGTTCCACAAACCGTTACTTGGGTTTTGCCGATTTTGACAATTCTCAAGTAAAAGTAAACAACACCTCAAAAACTTTGGTGAACTTTCCAGATATGGAATCTTGAGATGTCAACAGGAAGCTTTTCAATTAAGCAGAGCAGGTTTTTGTCAACCCTACAAAGATGCATTCCAGTTTTTCAAGAACCCCATAAAGATTACGACATGCGAATATAAGTAAACGTTCTAAAGCAACTCATAGAAGAAAACTCTGAAGGAAACAGGCTGCGAAATGTTCTATCCAGAAGCCTAACGGGGACGAGACATCATCAATAAACGAAATACTGGAGATTCTTATAAACACTCACATCCTGGGGTGCTCTGACGACATATCCGATACTTCGCCCGGTCCTATTACCCACTCGTCCCGAAGCAAAAACGTAGGGCAAGTCGTAAGTTATGATAGGGTGGAATGGTAGGGTGGAATCTCTCCGCCCAACTACAAGCAGCTAAGGAAATTCTGTGGCTCAGATTTTTATGCTTTCCAGTAAAGAACTGTCCAGTGACTTGGCAGTAACCAAATTTCGGAGAGTAAAAAGCTTTGTTTCTCACGTTTTCTCATGGTAGAAAAAATAAGGTAGTTTCAATAAACAACTTTTTGGCGGATACTAGGATTTTTGAATGTCATAATTTGTTCATGTTGCTAGCAGTGTTAATTTAATTTTCATTCAAATTTCAAATTTATTTACTCAGAAGTGTTACAATTTTTTTGAGTATGATGGTGCATTTACATGGTATGAATCTGTTCATAAGCATCAACTCTATGAAGTAATGAATGAAAGCGATATATATTTAACAATTTTGACTTGTATACTTGACAATATTTTTTTTGTAAACAACAAATAAAAAAATTTTATTTTGTGCTAGCTAGGGATGCCGTTTTCTTCCGTTTCTCAGTGGATTTTATACTTGAAAAGGCACCAAAAGATGTATGCAATACTTCTACATATCGTCGTTTGAAGTACAAAACCGCATATCCAGAAAATGCAAAACCTTGTATGTGAGGTTGCCTAAATTTTATAGGAGGGAGTGAAACTTGTCCTCAATAAAAAGGGTTCTCTCTTTTAAACTTAATAATATTCTCTCCTTATGTCTAAGTATCGATATGGCTAAGGGCTTGATGTCAGGAGCTTCCGGTGACCAAATATCTTTTTTGGCACGAATTTCAGTTCCGAGGTTTTGCAGAACCACGATACGCGCTTTTGTACTTTAAACGACGATATACATATTGGCGCTTGATTTTGGCGCGTGATTTTGTCACACAAAGTAAAGGACAGTTTTACGCCGACTCCGAACGGCAATTGTATTTTAATGAGAAGTTGTTTCCATGACAGAATACACTCGGAGGTTTACTATTACCAGCAGAGGGGCAACCACTATTAGAAAAAACTGGGCTTGAACTCAGTGCTCTACAGCAGCCGCCACTACTTTTACTTATATTGCTGGTATATTCAAAATACTATCCCGAACTTCGGAGTGTATATATGTAATATAAAAAAGAATGAGAGGTACTATAAGAAAATGTACCCAAAATTCTGGAGCAAATGAAAAAATGGTCATTGAAAATAGTTCACATGTATAAATTAAAAGATATAACTTAATAGGTTACAGCGCTAAACAAAAGGAAAAGTTAGAAAAAAATAGCAATGCGGTTTGAAGGAAACATGAAGCCATAAAATGCTTGTTTGTTTCGTTAATTCTCTGAACCTTGTAAGATATGGCACTCTATTATTTGCAGTAGTTTGCAAATATTCATTAATGGTTCTAAAATCGCACATTTTCGTGGGATGTTTTTCTTTGATTTCGAATTGAAAATACATTACGATCATATTGTACCGAAATAAGTGCGGTATACCTGCATTTTGTAAAAACCAGAACGAAGCATAAACTGTATGAAAAAATGAAAGGGAGAAGTATACATGCCTTCTATAATTTTGACTTATATGTATATTTGCAAGTCTTTGTGTAAACAACAATAAATACAAATTTTTATTTCTTTGCCAGCTTGAAAAATATAGGCTTATTTTTACTTAAACGTGATATAAAGCTCATTAAAATGTTCTGTAATGTCTTGTTGTAAGTTTGTTATCATAGTTCTTCGTATTTTTATTGTCCACTAAACGTGAGTGGCTTCAATTTAAAAAGTTCTAGTACAAAGAATTTCTTTGTTTATTGTTTTTAATTTTTAAAATTCGTACTTTTGACATGTATGTGAATGGCGGAGTTGCCGCTTTCCTCCTTTTCGGTGGGTTTTTATATTAAAAAGGCATCAAAATGGGAAAAAAACCTCCTTGGTATCTCTGCATCTGTTAAACTTTTTATGGAAAGATGTATGAAAATGCAACTTGCTGTAATTCCATATGCTTATCACAACAGTATGTTCACAGTATCTCCCCATAACTTTT